CAAGAGTCCTTCCTCCAATATTTCGACGTATTTCACAAAATTTATATTGCCAACACACTCTACTAAGCTCGATCTCCCACCAACCCAAACAGCTCCCCAAACCATCATGCTGAAACCACCATGCTTCACAGTTGGCTGCAATCTGTTGAGCCAAAACTCTTGGTGAGCCATTCTCTAGACCCATATCCTTCCATTGAGCAAATCTTGATTCGTCTGAGAACAATACGGTCTTCCAAAAGTCCAGAGGCTTGATCATCATATCACTTGCCCACTTCTTTTGTCTGACTATGTTGGCAGGTCTTAATAAGGGCTTCCGTCTAGCTACTCTACAACGATAACCCAATCTGTGGAGAATCAGTTGAACAGATTTCGGGCTCATCCCACCAACTTTGGCCACTTCTGCAGTCGTTAATCTGGGATCCATTCTAATGCTCCTCTTGACAGCCCTTTTTTGTCCTCTCCGAAGGACCAGGACGGCCCGGACGCTGCTCAGTTGTTTCCTGAACTGCACGATGATTCTGTTGACTGTCGAAAGTGGGATTCCCAAATTCTGCGAAATTTGCCACTGACTTATTCCGCCATCTGCTTGACCATCTATCCTTCCTCTAACAAAATCTGACAATTCGAGAGAATCTTGAGTTCTAGGCATGTTGTAGCACAAGATAATTAGTGTGCAGACCATTTTCATTTATATAGTGCTCTGTGAACACAAATTAGTTAGCATAAATCAGTTAAATGACAAAAAATTTGGTGTCTATTTACTTGTGACCACTCAGTGTACATGTGCAGTGCTCAGACATTGTGTACATTTAACAGTATAGTAGTACATATGAGAATTCTGATACAAGTCTAGTCTTACTACAGCCTGTATACTTTACTGTACTTGGTGGGCAGGCCAAGCTGGTTGTAATGAAAAGATTGACCAAGGTTGTTGTTCAGTTTAAAAGTTTTACAGGTTATTGACTGTTTGTTTCCTTAAGATACAATGTAAAATTACTATGGTTTGAGCTTATTTTTTCCAATGTAACGAAACTTCCCAGGAAATAAGGCATAAAAAATTAGTTGAATAAAAATGCAAAATTTTTAACTAAACATTAATTTTACTTTTTGGAAATAAGATATAAAAACATCAAAATTATTTTTTATTGGATCTTTTTAGGGTCTTTGTACACCAATATTATCATAATTGGATCTTTTTTTTTTAGTGTATACGTATCTTTTTTCAGACAACCAATACAACCTTCTAGACAACCTGGAAATTTACTTAAAATTGAACCCTGAGTAAGTTGTAATTATTATCAATTTTATTTAAGCCACTTACATATATCTTTAGGGTAATAATACAGCATTTATTTTATTTGTTAAGCTGTAAGAACTAGCTGAAATGTATATGCAGAGATGAAGGATGAGAATAGGTCAGGCTGAAAAAATTTGGAGGTTAATGAAAAGCACAGCCCTGTCTATGATCAGTGTCATAATTAATATTATTGTTTCTATATTGTATATCTTCTATATGTTTGCACTAATAACAGTGGAAAGAATAGTAACTTTCCCCAACAAGACATTTAATTCGTTTAAACACATTATTTTTTCAATATTATGTGTTTCTCCAGATAAGGACTATTCCTTTAAAATTAACCTTTAAGAATTCCATGTAACGTGAAATGGCTATATTTCCACACTGAGGCCAAATAAAGACATTTATATCCCCGTGTTTGTGCTGAGACCATCATGTATGGTAATGTCTAATGGACTAATTAATATTTTTTAATGTTTATTATAACTTTCAGTCAGTAATGATCCAAAATTTTAAAGTCAAATAATTCACAAACAAGTACCTACTATCTTATTGTGATATGTATTGTATGTAGCCTAGAGCAGTATTTACAGTACTTCTTTGTACAAGATGAAATATTAACTAATACTTTAATATATGCCACATTTACTTAAATAATATATACTCTATAAAAAAAAAAGAGTAATCTACTTACCTAAAGCTACCAGTCAAATCTGACACTCCTGGACGAAGAAGAATCTGAGTGAGAAGGTTGGCCCCTCGGCTAAAAAATAGGTCATAAATGACTAGTTCATGAGTACACTTTATCTAATACATTCTTATTTAAAAACATTTTTATAATGGGAACAATAAATAAATAAAGATATCTATTAAATCTTTAAAATAGTATTGTGCAAGTATAAGTCTCGATTAACATACGAGTTCATATCAGTGATATTGCCAAATGATTAACTAAATTGTAAACATCCGATGTAAAATTAATAAAATGAAGTTTAAAAACACACCAACTAAAAACTAAAACATAATAGTGTGACATTTCAAATGCTAATAAGAAGTACGCTGCCACATCAAATCCACCTCTTGCTAACAGAGATATAGACCAACACCACCAACCTGGCAGATATACGACTTTGTTGGTTACAGAACCCGTAATAAGATATGAATCACACAAAATAATTTAAACAAAAATGCTATCAATATTACAATCAATTAAACTAATTACTGCTTGGGCTCTCTGTGTATTTTAAACAAAAAATGAGTGTTTACTTGTTTCTTTATTTATTTGTAATTAAGCACAAAACTAAACAAAGGGCTATCTGTGCTATTCCCACCACAGATATCAAAACCAAGTTTTTAGCATTATGAGCCTTAAAACTTACTACTAAAGCCACTGATGGGGCGAGGGGGTAGTTCTTTATATTGACTATTGTATCTAGCAAATACATATAATTTACTCGATATGATGCAATATGAAGATCCCACCAACAGTGAAGAGTATAGAAACAAGTTAGTAATTTGAAGGTTAAACAAATTCCATAAGTCAGAATATAAATTAACAACAGCTGTGTAAAATGTATCACAAAAACTTAAAACCTTCTTCATATTAACAGGTGCTGAATTGTCTTGAAAAATTGAATGGTTATATCCACTACATTGCCAAATATGGGAAGTAAACAAATGTTGTTTCTTTACTAAGGCTGGACAGATAAATGTCATGTAAAGAGTAACAATTAATAATGTGTCAACAAGACCTTAAACTGTTCCCAAACACAACAGTGAGACCTATGCATGTCCTTCTTTGCCCAACATATGGGGTAAAAAGAAAAATGAGGTAATAATAATAATGTAATTTTTATCAAATACTGCTTTTGTATATACCCCAATAAAACATATTCTTTAATTCTCATCACAATACAACATGTCTTTTAGGGGTATATAAATAATGATAAAAAGAGACCATTTTAAGCAAACAAAGTTGTGAGTATAGATGCCCAGAAGTGATAAGGATCACAGATACCATGACTCAGTGTATGGTGGCCACTGCAATGATAGCCTGAGGTGATTTTGGATCTGAGCAAAATATTAACATGCCTTATGTGCACAACACATAGTGCAAACGTTTCACTTTTAAGAATGTTGGAAAAGCCAGCACTTCAAAACTACACATTAAATCAGAATTTTATGCTTCAAAAGTCATGGCACTAGTGACAGAACTCTCAGCTCATTAAGTATGACATTTCTAAGAGAAGTGACATTGACTTATAAATCTTCAACATTAAAGAGATACCAAAAAATACAAAGAACACAACAGTTCAAAGGCTACTTTATACAAGGTCATGGTAGATAAGTTTATAAAACAAAATAAGAAAAACTTCACAATCATGATTCTATTACAGTTGTATTGGCTGTGCAAAATAAATTATCTGTATTTAGTCTATTGGATATTGTGTTGGTCATGTCTTACTCACCAAGCAATTTTTACTCATTTATCATAAATAACATGAAAAATGTTACTAAAACAAATATAACAGTTATTCAAGATATATGTCAACAGTTATATATTCAGTCATCCTGCTCCTGCAGAAATTAGGATCATAACAATCTTGTTGGACCACATACTCGTCAAGTTCCCAGATGCAACTCCAACAGATTTTTGGTCCATTAAAGTGTGTACTTGGAAGTCATGGCTTTATAAGATTAGTTCATTTAAAAGAAACTGCACAACAATAGCAGGTCAACAGTGACATGGTTGTTCTCTGAAGAAAGCTGATCTCAAGCAAAAATTATTGCAGACCCATTGTTAAGAAGCAGGGAAAGCATGATTGCTGGGAAAATAATCATCAATACTAGTATTCTGAACTTAATCATTTCATAAGCAGCTAGCTCTGCAAAGTTTTCCAAAATGCTCTTTTCTTTGGCTTTCTATTATATAACAACCTTGCTGCGCGAGTTTTTTTTTTTTTTTTTTGAAAGAGCATACATATACAGCCACTTAACGAATTTTGGAAGCAAGCTTAGTCAATATTGTTTGCTCTTATGTACAGGAAAGATGCCTATCTACCATTTAACTGAAGACCTAGAACAATTTTGACATTATAGAAAGGGAGACCATAGCTAATTTAGATGCATTTTCATAATAGTAAATGACCTTCTGTACTTTAGGAAAATATTAATTTTTGGAGAAAGCATAAAAGGAACTGTTAATCCAATCTTGTTACCCAACTCAACTTAAACCATATTAGCATTAAAAGGGCAACATACTCTGAATGTTCAGAAAAATGAGCCCATTCACTCCTGAGCTACTACTTGTATTGAATATAATACATGAAAACTCAGAAGAATCCTGCTTTTATATGAAATAAAGGGGCTGGCTATCAAAAGCTGAACAAACAGAATATCTTTAAATGTTCCGGAAATCTTGACCTTTTCCTGAAGCACTTTTGTATACTTTATACTTTCACATAGCTTTAGCTTTCAGTTCTCAAAACTTTTCAGAGGTATGTTCTAGTATTTATCACTATGCAAATCGGGACCTCATAATTTATTATGTCTTAGGTTTTCTAATCTTCCTGTACTAAAATGACACTCTGTCATAACTAATATTCTGAACTTATGCCAAGAAAAGAACAATACCAACATTATTATGGCACTTAAAACAGATTTACCTTACATCAAAACTTTTTTATAGGAAGCTTTTGGTACTATTCCTAGGACCATCTTCAGGCCAATTGAATGGAGTTATATAATACTAACAGTTCTTCTGACATTTTGGCTTTGTCCTGTGGTGCACAACATGAGGAATACATAAAGTCCCTCTATGTTTACAAAATTTGTCCTGTGAATGTGGTGCACAACACAATGAATACATAAAGTCTCTCTATGTTTAGAAACTGCGTTTACAAAAATCACATTCATTAAAATATTTCTTAAAGCAATTCAAATATATTAAAATCCATTTTAACTTTTTAAACAGGAAAAAAATATCCTAGAACATGGAAGGAAAAGTTATACTTTCCAGAACTCGAAAGTGCTGTGATTATGATATTTAAAGATTTTTTATACAGTAAATACCTGATAACTTTTCTCTTCAAGTCCCATCCATACACACCACCACTACCTAAATATCGTGTGCCTGACACAATATCAAAATCTTTTTCTTGTTGCTTTCTAAAGAAATAAGTAAACATGGCTTTAAGCATGTAAAATAAAATGTTTAAAAATTACTGTTAAAATGAAAAGTTTCTGGTTATAGATGTTAAGTGGCATTCTTTTCAAACATTTCTAAAAGTTTTATTGTCACGGTAGTTTATGTTATTGAAATTTTTTTACCTTAAAACAGTCCAACAAAACAAAGTTATTGGAACTAAAAATTCTCTCATGAAAGACAAAAGTAATATATACTTATTTACAAAATTTACAAAGTATCAAAAAACACAAATTTTTCTGGATTCAAGAAGAGAACATTAAAAATAAGTTTTATAATGCAACATATTTATAAAACTACTGCTTTTAATGTCTGGAAATTTAATCTTTTAAATAAATTTCTAATACAGTTTTCCTGTGAATATTTATAAGTGCTTTTTTAATGCTTCAGTTGCATGTTTATTAACTTGAATGATATATATATTGTTAAATATTACTAAAAATCCCACCTCTGAATAGTTTTAATTTTCAAGGCATGAAACATAGCAGTTATTATTTTATCTGGCAATGATAATTATTTAACCAGATGATGGTATTAATACTTTCTACTCGATGTAAAAAAAGACAGAGTGAAAGTCAATTTAATGTATGAACACAATTCATAATAGAGTATGTTTCTGATGTTCCTTTCACTAGTACTTTCTATTTAAAAGTCATGTTTTCTTTGCATAAATTTGAAATATACATTTATGTCTTCTTGATACAAAATAACTTTCTTTCATGTACATTACTTGGAATTTTTAACTCAAACATCAAACTACTTAATAACTATGTTAGTTACTCTTAAAAAATATAATCAATATTATTATTTTAATTCAATGAAAATTAAGTTGAAATAAGCAATGACTACTACACAGATCATTTCATAATAACATGCAAGAAGCGAGTCCTGAAATATTTTCAAAGAAACAGCATTGACAAGGAATCTAAAAATTATTGAATTACTAGAAACAAAATTAATGGTAAAACATAGATCTATTTACTCGGTAGATTCTAAAAATGACAAATGAAAAACTGAAGTCCTTCTGTCTTAAAATAAATCATAATTTTAAAAAGTAACTTATAAAATACTTAACTAACAAGAAATTTTATTATAGTAAGTTTATTCCACATTCATATTTTCGTTTAGGTCTATTGAGAAATTCTGAAAAGTGCTAAATTGTTTTTATAGTCAATTGCACAATAAAATTTGAAACTGTAAATTTTGTTGAAGAATTGCCAGTTGTATATAGTCTTACTTGTAAAAAAAGAGCTGAAATGAATACAGTATATTGCTTTTTGAATATTCAACAATAAAGACAAAGAAATATTTGTGTTTTTTTTTGTAAACTTTGGTGCCATTTAATATTATGATGACAGATAAGGAGATAGGAACATATGTTTCACAGTTTCTATTCAGAGGGTGAAAGTGGTGAAATTTTCTTTTACTTTGTTTTTAAGAATCACAGTGATGTCTGGGCTGCTTACAACACAAGTCACATAAAATATAACAGGTTAAATATTCAGTTTCAATATTCATGAAAAAGTATTCGTATTCACAATGCTACTTATAATAATACTGTTTACTGCACTTCTTGGAATTTTCTCAATTTTTATTTACATGAGGTATATCTGCTGCCAACAAAGATGAGTTCAGAGAACTTTTTTAAAGACATAAAACCAACAATAGTGAAAAATTCACACATAAGCAGGTTATGGACATTCTATAATTAAAACAGAAAGTATGTTTCGAATATAATACTGTCACTCATGCAGACGAAGATTACAATAACTATTTTTAGGAAGTATTGTAATTTTTCATGTCTCTGCCAAGACTTGTTATTCTACTTAATATTTCTTTGGCAGCACTAGCAATAATATAAGAATTTAGTTTTATAAACAATATTGACAAATAAGTTCAGCTGAAAAACCTGCTGATTTTCTAGTAAATGTTTAGAGCAAGATATTTCCACACTTATACTCTTTTTTTTGTTTTAGCACATATCAACTTCTACCTTTCTCTCATAGTCGAGGTTGAAAGTTTTACAAGTTCACATTTTCCCAAATTGCGTAATATATTATTTTTCTTTTCTTTCTCTTTTGATGCCTTATTTCAGTAATTTATTGTCTTTGTCTAGACTACTTACTTTTTCTATGTACCCTGTGGATAAATTAACTAATAAGTACATTCTTATTTTAGTTTTAAAATACAATAAGATAAAATACAGTGAAAATAAAAAGAAATTTTCATACCTGATAAATTCTGGAATGAATTTTGGCTGCAAGTATAAAAATATCCAATCAAAATTAAGCATCATTCTTATTAACTATTACTGTGTCAGTGAATATAAAATAACTAATTTTGGTAATGACAAAAACAAATACCTCTTTTAATGAAGTGTAGAAATGACAATTAATCAGTTATTTTTACATTCTGAACTACTGTATGTATGATCCATAATGCATTATAAAATAAGTAAAAATCTAATGGCACAAAACTCTACATCACAAGGCAATTCATATAGACGAACTTAAAACTCAGCATGCAGTATATAAACTACATAAACTGCCATTAAAAGTAAACATATCAGAGAATTTCAATTCAGATTGTTAGGGAAAATATCCATCTATAATAGTAAATCAATGTCATACTGTCGAACAGATTATATGTACACAAAACCAATCACAAGGTAGCAGCAAATATAAACATTAATGTGCTACCAAATGGTAAAATACCAAGTCAGGTTATATAGACGTAAAGTAAGTCTAGAGAGTAAGTCACATGCTTATTTGAAAGAGTGGCTTTCACTGCATACATGTAGGAGCCATGCAGAGTTGCCAACCTTACAGTTTTGTTCTTACTGATATACAGGCAAACAGTGGGCTTTTTTACTGGTGCTGTATGTGTCAACTGGCATCATTAAAATAATTTTTTTGCTATTTATGGGTTCACAGACAGTGTTAGAATGTGGCTTTTTTCCTTTAACTGACTGTCTGATAATTTATGGATATTTGGCAATCCTGATGGCATGATGTGTAAATGAGGTTGAGTGAATAAAAACCCATGTGCCAGAATGTGAGACAATTCATTACATATTTTTGTGGGACAGAATAGTGTGTGTGGATCCTGCTTGAGGTACAAGGTGAGAGAATATCATTATACTTTATCAATATAAAATGTATTCACTAGTCAAAAAATTTATTACAGATTGTATGTTATTTTCTAAGTTTTTCATTCACTGCAAAGGGAGAGTTGGTTCTCTCTTATTCTGTGTGTATGCCTTTCTACACGGAAAGGGTAATTCTCCCCAACATTCCTTCTTCCCGCTCATTCTTCCTGATGTACAATTTGCAACACCCCCCTCTTGCCCTGCAATATGCCACTTTAGACAGTTGCCTAAGTCATTACTCCTTAGACTGTCATTGGTACTGCATACAAAACAAATATGAATGTAAGAAATTTGGTATTGTTAAAGTTGGAATGCTTGTTGTGAGAGTTAAGATTTGTATATAGATTGGATTGGTTGTAATGTTTCAACCTTAAGATTATAATGTCAGGCACATGTAATGAATAATGTTATCTATAATAATAATAAAAGGGTGTGTCTGTGGGTCTGTGTGTGCATGACAACTATAGCTCCAAGAGGAAAGAACCTAGAAACCTGAAATTTTGCACACATACTAAGTGAACCCTGAGGGTATGCACTTGGGTATCACTTATCCACATGCATGCACATCTTTTTAATGAGCCAAAGTAGCAAAAAACCACATAGAGAAGAAGTGGTCCCTTATATTACAAGTAGAAATCACAGACAGACATATACATGCATCACTCGGTGCATATGCACATGCATGTCTGTGTGACTGCCGTAGCTCCAAGAGGAAAGAACCTAAAATCCTGAAACTTTGCATCCATACCAAGTGGAACCTGAGGGTGTGCACCTGGGTATTACTTATCTTATTCATGTGCATACATATATCCTTTTATGAGGGAAGCTAGCGAAAAACCACATAGAGGACAAGTGGTTCCTTATATTACAAATAGAAATGTACATGCGTGCATCTTTTTAATGAGGCAAGCTAGCAAAAAACCACATATAACAATTTCTAATATATAGAAAAGCCAATGCGTTCCAACAACAGCTTTTATTTCATGTTGCTTAGTAAGAAAAGTATATACACACACTTACATAGTCATCTAGAATATATCAACCTAATAACCCGAACAAAACCGGGTATTTACGCTAGTATTCAAACAAATGTTGGACATTAGTAGTAAATACATTTATACTATAAAATCAAGAAAGTATGTATAATAAAAAAAAATTACCAAATTGTTGGGCATGTGTAATGAATATTGTTGACTTTCAAATAGACGGAGATTAGTAAATGCATTTATAATATTGAGAAAGTATGCAAGATGAAAAAAAAAAGAGACTAAATTGGTGTATGCACAACATGACTGTTATATATTTGAAAGTTGGTGATAATGGACTGCATCTATCTCGGACTTTTTGGATGGCAAAAAACTTCCTAGACAGATGCAGACTATTAACAATGCTTTTCAGATATTCTCTCCTCTGTCTGAGCCTACTCTCAAGCATGTGTCATATTTTAAGATTAGGGTTATTGTGTTACAGCAATGAAGTACAAGCAACATTCACCAGGTTGCCCTTCAGTAAACAATCTTTGAACAGTATGTGCAGGACAACCCTAACAATTAGCCATGTGAACAGAACAACCCTAACCATTAGCAATGTGACTTAAAATTGTCTCATCAGCTGTATAAGCAGGACAACTCCAATCATTAGCCATGTAAGCAAATATTGTTGTATCCACTGTGTGGGTAGGACAACCTTAACCATTAGATGTTTGGGCTCACATAATCCTATCCATCTTGTGGGCTAGACACATTACTCCCAACAGTGTGAGAAAGAGCATTAACATGATGAAACAAATGTTTTCATAGCATCATGTTACAAAGTAAAGACTATGTTTATGCATTGTCCATGACAAAGTAGTGTACATTAAATAGTATGGATTGAAGAGAGACGTGTAACTTAAACCCCATATTGAAGTGTATCCATTAAAATCAATTTTTTCTTGTGAAGTGAGAACATTTGTATTTTGTAAGTGTATAGAAGCATGTGAGAGTCAGCAAATGGTATCTGGTGTGTGAAATGAATGTAGTATGAACTGGTTAATATAAGTAGTTATTTAGTTTAATATTAGTTGTATCATATTTCCATTATTTATTTAAGTCATTATATTACTTATTACTCTTTTTCTCTGTGTCTTGTGATTGTTCAACAGTGGGGATATGTAAACCTGACCCAGATAGGGTGAAGTGTATACAGAACAGAATAGAGGGTGACAGAAACCATAATGATATGGTTCCAGTTAATGACCTCTACACAGAACCTGACACAAAGTGGAAATAAATTTGCTTACATGTGCCTGAAACATTTCTTGATGAATGATTTATACACAAAATAAACAAAGAAAGGCAATAAAATTACCAATGTTATTT